GATGCCCTTCCAGCCACAACCCATCTCTGGGAAACATCCACACATACACACACACTTATACAGTATGGACAATTTAGCCTACCCAATTCACCTGTACCGCATGTCTTTTTACTGTGGGGAAAACCGGAGCACCCGGAGGAAACCCACGCGAACGCACTACACTACTGAATTAGACACACAATCTCAAAAAAAAACTTGATGCTTATTTACATTATCTAAAGTCATTTCTGAGGTAGGATCTGTTGTTGTATTATATATTTTCGTTTTAATATGCAAATAATTTTCTTTAATTTGTAATAGGTCCCTCATTGCATAAAATAACCAGCCTTTGTATTCAATATGTTTGTAAATTGTCCATCCAGTTTGACGCAAGCTAAACAACATTTTGGCCTGTTTTGCTTATTAAATGAGTGATTTTCACGGAGAAACAAATCATCCATCCACACAGTTTTGTATAGGACCTGTGTGAACAAAAATGTACACTTCATCATAGCCTATAGGAAAATGTATCTGTTTAGAACAAATTTTGTGTTGTATAATTAAAAATATTAAAAATACAATAAAAATAAAAAGAAGGAATAACATTTGAAGTGCAATGCTTCAAAGATCCAATACGCTGCATGCAGAGCCAACACAAAAACTGGTTTGTTTGTTTAATAAAATAATAATATGAAATTAAAGTGAAATAGTTCCATAACCTGTATTATAACTGTAGTCACTCTAGATGACAAATCATCCGTTGCGCCGTTCAGTTTCACCTTTAATCAAGAATGTGCCAGAACCAAATGAGAATATTTACAGATTACCTCGGAATGAGACCTCGGTCTGTGAAGGATGCAGAACACAGAAACTCGCTGCATGGAGATGCATGTTAGATGTTTTATATCCCTTTAGATATTGTAAATAAACAAGTTTTTATAGAGATTGTGTCATGTCTTTTCTTTAACGCACGCGCTGAACAGCCTGTAGCCTAAATAATAGTTTAGATTTTATAACATATAATGTTCCATTACTTTAAATGTATAATGTTTTTTAATATGTATGGATTATATAAAATATATAGTTTATATAAATGCGCTCTGATCATTCAAGGATCATAATGCGTTGCATATTCTTCTTATTCTTCATTAGGCTTGATCCGTAAATTGTGTATTTTATAAACTGATCGTTTATAAGGACTAAGCTATTAATAACTGTAATTCCTCGAATGGAAAAGTCTTGATTAAAGATAAAGAGAACTTAATTCGACATATGCATATAGTGCGCTTATTTCTGCGCGCATCGCGCGCTTTACCGAATTACCTTTTTTTTTAAATGCATTATAAATGCATCTGGCAGCACCGAAAAGAGCAAATGCCAAGTTATTAGCGCAGCGCACAGACAGCTAGCTCGTCTAGTCTGAACCAGGGGTTTTCAAACTATTCATTGCACACCGATCCCATTGCATTTTATTTAGGATAAACCACTTATTTAAAATTAATTAATTAAAAGGTGCGTACTCTCCAATACAACACTGTAGTGTCATAATATTTAATAATTATAATTAAGATAGACACCTGACCTCCATTTAATAAACAATTTATTTGCCATCCTCTGTTAATTTGAAGTTTAAAGTTTAAATCATTTATGTTAAACTTAAATTATTTAAAAACTTAAAAAGACTTAAATTTAGTCATTTAAGACATTTTAGGTCATAAGTTTACATACATTGACCGTTGCATTTAGTAGGCCTATTCTGGTCTAAATAAGCTTTTTGCATCTTAGGTGTTTACACACACAAATTAAGCAGTTTATACGTACATTTAATGTTACTTTGAAATTACTTTTGATGCAATAAATAATCCTAAATAGTTGAAAGTGTTAACATATTCTTGAAATGTAGTTATTTTATAACTATGAAATTTATTACTAAACAAAGTGAATCATTATGAATTTGCCAAGAAATAATCCACTTTACCACCGTAAAGCAATGCCCCACACTCTGTAAAATAGAGAAAATAAGCAAGATGCGCAGTCTCATGCAGCCTTAGTGAAATATAGCGCGTCACAGCAATGAACTAAAAATAAAACCACCCTTGAAATGCTGGCGATCTTAATTTTTTCAGCCTACACTGACTGAGAATAATGTTGCACTATTTTATTAACAAATAATTAGAATGTTTTTTTTTTCCTTCAACACATTCATCATTACTTTTGCCTGTTCAAGTTTTTGCGCGCGCTTGAGCGCGAAGGCATCTATTTTCAGGTGCAAGATGCCACTTTGGGTGGCACCAGCACACTCTGCCACACCTGTGGCTATGTTCCTGCTACAATAATAATAACAACAACAACGACAAAATAATAACAAAAAATAATAATAATAAGACAGGCCTACTTTGACGTTGCAATAAAAAAGTATTAATTATCAAATAAATATTTACAATAGGCTAAAGGCATATATTAAATTAAAATAGGAGAAAATCCAATAGAAACAAATGGTACCATTTATTATAGCCCCATGCAGGGTCCATTGTGTTCTTACAACCATTAAATAACTAAGTAAATAATAATAATAACAATACTAATAATAATAGGCCTAATAATAATCTAATAATAATAATAATAATAATAATAAATTATTATTTTATACAGAGTAGGCTATTATTTAGGCCTACAATAGCTCTGAAACAATCATGCAAACCAGGTGCTGCTCGGAAATGGCTTTCTTTGCTCAGCATCAGTTGCACAGCAGCAAGAAGCTTGGCAGTGAACTATGACCTTATTTTAATGACAAATGTCTAAGAATACTGCTGATTTACGTTTTTATTTAATTTATACATACGTAATGAATGTAAGCCTGCTAACTGTGTGTGGTTCAAATGATAGAATATGTAAACTTTGTTTATATATATATATAATTAAATAATAATAATTAAAAGCCTGCGTGTAAGGCTTTTATTTTGAGGGTGACGTCACGAGCGCAGATTTGGTTAACCAATTAGAGAAAAGTGGGCGTTTCAGCACCGCCTACATGTGTAAAATGAATTTTAAAGTCGTTTATCCGTTTTCCTACCCTAAACCAAAAAAACGAAAATCCAGCCAAAATCTCGTTTTTTCGTTTTCTCGTGCGCAAAAGAAAAACGGAAAAACGGCCGTTTTCTCCATTTCCTTTATTCCGTTTGAAAATGGAAAACAAATGAACAAAACGTACACGGACCCAGATCAAACAGTGTTCATCTTTAACCACCAACCTACCTTGTCAGGTAAACCAAGTTAGTTTCGGCGTTGGAAAACGTCATCAAATCGTGTCCGTTTGTTCCTGTCACGTAAACTGAATATAAGGCGCGGGAAAAGTTACATCGCCCTCTATCGGTCAACATCAAAGGACTTTTATATGAAAGATTGTTGTGCTGACTAGCATTATTTTCTGTCAGAACGAGCGCGGGATTGTTATAAATAAGTAAATAGTATTAAAAATAAATCTATCAAACAATAACACTACATCAAACTCTATGTAATATAATTAAAAAAAAAGACCACAGTTTTGGATACGATTTTTAAATGCAAAAGGGTATATGCAGAAGCATGCTAATAGGACTTTGAATTTGCCAGTTTTATTTATTTATTTATTTATTTATTTATTTATTTATTTTAACTGAATGTATTTTAATGACATTACAACATTGATACTGTAAATGGAACCGTATAAATTAGAAAAAAAAATTCACAATAACAGGTAACGGGAGGTTTATCAGTATGGGAAAAACACCAGCTCGGGATATACCATATTAAGCCAGGCTGGTCAAGCTGGTTTTAGCTGATCATTTCCCAGCCTGACCAGCTAAAACCAGGCTAAAAATAGCTGAAACCAGCCTAAAAATAGCCAAAAGCCCTCTAAAACCAGGCTGGTCAACTAGCTAAAACAAGCTTACCATGGTTTAAGCTGTTCTTTTTTTTTTTAACAGGGAGGCTATTAGCCTTTTTAATAATTTAATTTTGTTTTATTTAATTTGCTGCTTGAAACTAAAGAAGACTTAAACATTATTCAATTAAAAAACAAAGCAATTAACATAGGGTTTTTGCTCGCCAGACAACAAAACAAGCTCTGTAATGTTTATAATTAAAAAAAATTAGCAAAAGAGAAAAATACTTGCAATCTGTATAAAAAAATGAACTGAAATCAATAACATTAGTATTTTAACCTTCTTAGTTTATTATTTTAAAACGTTGTTTGAATTACAAGGAAGGCTTTAACGTTCTCAGCAGAACGTGCGATTAATAGAGGGAAATTAACATGTTTTTTGATGCTGCGTATCTTCTAATTTTAACAAAATTATACATTTCAACAAAAGCACAAAACCATTTACATAAAAATGTATTGAAATTAAAAGTAATATTATGTAGTATATGTTTTAAAATGTTTCAATAGGGTATATGCCAAGCTAGTGCTGTTCCCATGCTGATACACGTCCAGTGACCTGTTATTGTGAACTTTTTTCCATTTTATACGGTTCCTTTTACAGCATCGATGTTGTAATGTCATTAAATACATTAAGTTAAATAAACTTTAGCATTTATTTAGTTGCTCAAGCGTAAAACGAGACAAAAGCTGTTTCCTCACACGCGCCCGTCAGAATCGGCAGGCTAACACAGAAGCTCCATTGAATATACTGTGGTAAAATAAATGCTCATATTATAAAGACAAGACGGGGGAAATGTAATTTCATGCCGTACTTCTTATACAATCTGACACCCACTTTAAATTGGATATCATTTAGCTGATTTTTAAAGAAAACAGACCTTAAACGCACTGGATTTTGCATTGGCATTCAATTCGCCGGAAGCACTTAATCCAGGTTACTGGCAAATTAAAGTCCTATTAGCATGCTTCGGCATATACCCCATTGATTAATTTATCAAATTGCTTTATAAAGGAAGGTTCTTGTTGTGAGAAGAAAAAAACCTGCAATTAACATGGGCTTTTTAATAATGCAAGATCACACACAAAGTAAACATATTGATAATATTCTAATAGCGCTTTATTATTCAAAATCTCACAGTTCATTCATCGTTATATGTATCTTCAGCAATAAATTAAACTTCTGTGGCTTATAACATTTGTAATAATGCTTGACAAAAGAAAAATGCTAGTTCATTCACATATACCACACATACAGTATTCATATATTCATTCTTTACCATGACATTCATTAAAAGAACAAACAAATTGGTTATATTACAACCCCACATGTTTTAAAACAAAATGCACACAGAAAAAATATAGATATATTTTGATGAGCATATGATTGTGAGAGTGTACAATGGCGTTCTCTGAAGATGATGATGACGGTGGAGATTTGTTTTCCAGTCATGAGTTGCAGTCTTTGAGCATTGTTTGTCCTCTGGACTCGTGACCTCCCATTCAAACCCCTTCGCCACAATTCAAAACAAACATATAAAGCCTATTGTCCTTTTATCAGTAAACTGCTCGTACCATAGTGCTCTCTTAAAGAGCCGGAGAGAAAAGGAAATCCAGTTCTTCGCAAGCAAAACTTACGGATGAATACAGTCACCAATTCACAGCTGCGTTGACTTGATCCTCATTTCTACTATATACATTTAAGCCCCGCCCCCTATTCCAACATCCAAACATTAAGACAGTATTATTAAATGCAATGTATTCATTTGCATAGTCAAAGTACACTCTCAGTGGCTCTGTGTGGTGGTTTTTTATTGTTATGATTATTTTTTTTCTTGCAGTCCCTCAGGGAAATTCACTTTGCGGCTCTATAAAACATTCATCAGGCACATGTTTTGTCTTGAAAGATAGACGTGAAGTAGATCTGGATGCAGATCAGTGTTTGAGTTCTTCTGCTGTTTTTGACCAGCGATGGCGGTACTGAGATTCACTGAAGCGTCTCTTACTGCTGTTGTAATAGTTGTTGTTTTGGTATTTGTGTGCATACATCTTCTGGAAGGTGGACGCTGTGGAATAAAAGGAAAGATGTGTTCATTTAAAACAAATAGCTTATGTCAAAATGTCATTTTTTGGAATCATTTATTTTTGTTTTTAATATATATATATATATATATATATATATATATATATATATATATATATATATATATATATATATATATATATATATATATATATATATGATTTTTAATATTTTTACTGCACAATGAATTTTATTATACACTCAGTGGCCACTTTATTAGGTACACCTGTCCAACTGCTCGTTGACAAATTTCTAATCAGCCAGTGACATACTCAATGCATTTAGGCATGTAGACATGGTCAGGACGATCTGCTGCAGTTCAAACTGAGCATCAGAATGGGGAAGAAAGGGGATTTAAGTGACTGAATGTGGCATGGTTGTTGGTGCCAGACGGGCTGCTCTGAGTATTTCAGAAACTGCTGATCTACTGGGATTTTCATACACAACCCTCTCCATCAGAGAATGGTTGATAAAAGGGAAAATATCCAGTGAGCGACAGTTCTGTGGGCGCAAATTCCTTGTTGATGTCAGAGGAGAATGGCCAGACTGGTTCCAAGTGATAGAAAGACTACAGTAACTCAAATAAGCACTCGTTACAACCGAGCTCTGCAGAAGAGCATCTCTGAACACACAACACGGCCAACCTTGAGGCGGATGGGCTACAGCAGCAGAAGAGCACAGCGGGTGCCGCTCCTGTCAGCTAAGAACAGGAAACTGAGGCTACAATTCACACAGACTCACCAAAACTGGACAATAGAAGATTGGAGAAACGTTGCTGCTCTGATGAGTCTCCATTTCTGCTGACACATTCGGATGGTCGGATCAGAATTTGGCATCAACAACATGAAAACATGGATCCATCCTGCCTTGTATTAGCGGTTCAGGCTGGTGGTGGTGGTATAATGTGTGGGGGAGATTTTCTTGGCACACTTTGGGTCCATTAGTACCAATTGAGCATCGTGTCAACGCCACAGCCTACCTGAGTATTGTTGCTGACCATGTCCATCCCTTTATGAGCACAGTGTCTCCATCTTCTGATGGCTACTTCCAGCAGGATAACACACCATGCCATAAAGCTCAATCATCTCAGACTGGTTTCTTGAACATGACAATGAGTTCACTGTACTCAAATGGCCTCCACAGTCACCAGAGCTCAATCCAATAGAGCAGCTTTGGGATGTGGTGGAACGGGAGATTGGCATCATGGATGTGCAGCCGACAAATCTGCAGCAACTGTGTGATGCTATCATGTCAACATGGAGCAAAATCTCTGAGGAATATTTCCAGTAGCTTGCTGAATCTATGCTACGAAGGATTAAGGCAGTTCTGTTCTAAAGGCAAAAGGAGGGCCAAACCCGGTACTAGTAAGGTGTACCTAATAAAGTGCCCAGTATAATACCGGTATAATAAATACCGTGTATCTTTTTTGACAAAAAACCTCAAGAAATTAGTATTTACTTTTCAAAAGTATTCACTATGCAGGACGAAACCTGCAAAAACAATAAATAAACAAATATGCAAATAAATTAATTAATTAAATAATAAATTCTAAAATGCCTGCATAAATAAATCAATAAATAAATATATATAAAAACACAAATTCTTGCATGAATAAAACAATAAATAAAAATGCAAATAAACACAAGAATATATATATAAAATACACAAATTCCCGCATAAATAAATATATAAATAAATAAAAATTAAATAGGTTTCGTCCTCTATAATTCACTAATGTCTTTAATCTTTTAGTAAATTTCATTAATATCTATACCTTTTTTTGTAAAATAAAATGTTAAAGAGTATTTTATTACAATATATATCTTCTTTTGTCTAGCGTGAATTTTTATTTTGAACTAAAAGCTAAAAATAAATAAATAACATTTTAAATCTGATTGAAGAAATGAAAAAATTAAAATAATAAAACGTTTGCAAGAAAATAAATAAAAAATGTTTTTAAAAAGATTAATATTAAGTTACATATTAAATTGTTTTCATGGCTTTAGTTTTATTATACAGAATAACTCATACAACTTACGATTCAAGCATGTGATTTTGGGCTTGTCCCACTGTCCGTCTTCTCTGCATCTGATAGTAGGGACATGTCTCTGGATGAAGCCTTCTTTACAGTGATATCGAACCAGAGAGTTGATCTCGTATCGCGGCTTCATGCTGCCATAGACTTGAGCGTCCTTTATGAGAGGAGGCTGACCGCAGGACACTGGGAAACAGGATAAAGATATTTTCATATTATGGTCAGGTTATGTTGTGGATACATTACAGTAATGTTAAGGTTATTTTCGGGTTATGTTTTGGTTTTGTTTAGGTTATGTTCTGGTTATTTTAAGGTTATGTTCTGGTAATGTTCAGGATATTTGCAGGATATGTTCAGGTTATGTTCTGGTTTTGTTCAGGTTATGTTAAATTAAGTTATTTTCAGGTTAAATAGGATCAGTTTATTTTCAGGTTATATTTAAATTTTGTTCTGGTAATGTTCTGGTTATGTTCAGGTTACTTTCAGATGATGTTCAGGTTATGTTCTGGTTATGTTTAGTTGATGTTTAGGTTATGTTCTGGTAATGTTCAGTTTCTGTTCAGATTATTATTAGGTTATATTGTGCTTATTTTCAGGATATGTTCTGGTTATGTTTAATTAAATCATCTTCAGGTTATTTTCTAGCAATGTTCAGTTTGTTAAATTAAATTATTTTCAGGTTATGTTCTGGTTATAATCAGTTTATGTTTAGGTTATAATCAGTTTATGTTCAGGTTATATTCTAGTTTTGTTCTGGTAATGTTCAGTTTATGGTTAGGTTACTTTTAGATGATGTTATTGTTATATTCAGTTTATGTTTAGAATATTATTAGGTTATGCTCTGTTTTTTTCAGGACATGTTCTGGTTGTTTAATTTATTCATCTTCAGATTATGTTCAGGCAATGTTCAGTTTATGTTCAGGTTATGTTCTGTTTAGGATCAAATTATGTTCAGGTTACTTGCAGATGATGTTCTGGTTATGTTCAGGTTATGCGTAGTTGATGTTCAGGTTATGTTCTGGTAATGTTCGGTTTATGTTCAGACTATTATTAGGTTATGTTCTGCTTATTTTCAGGATATGTTCTGGTCATGTTCTATTAAATTATTTTCAGGTTATGTTCTGGTTAGGATCAGTTTATGTTCAGGTTACTTGCAGATGATGTTCTGGTTATGTTCAGGTTATGTTTAGGTTATGTTCTGGTTATGCTCATAATATTAGGTTATGTTTTGCTTATTTTCAGGATATGTTCTGGTCATGTTCAATTAAATTATTTTCAGGTTATGTTCTGGTTAGGATCAGTTTATGTTCAGGTAACTTGCAGATTATGTTCTGGTTATGTTCATGTTATGTTTTGGTTATGTTCAGGTTATGTTCAGGTTATGTTCTGTTTATGTTCAGGTTGTGTTCTGGTTATGTTCAGGTTATGTTCTGGTTATGTTCAGTTTATGTTCTGGTTATGTTCAGGTTATGTTCTGGTTATGTTCAGTTTATGTTCATAATATTGTTAGGTTATGTTCTGCTTACTTTCTGGTTGTGTTCAATTCAATTATCTTCAGGTTATGTTCTGGCAATGTTCAGGATATGTTCAGTTTAGTTTATTTAGTTTAGTGGCCTATAGCTCCTTCCCTTCAGCTTAGCGGCTGAAACCTCCTCCACTTCTGCAAAGCTCACTTCTATTTATTAGTTGAATAAGTGCATCATCCAGGTATTTAAAGGGTACTTATTCTTTTTTGTTTTTGTTTAAGTTTTCAGTCTGAATGCACTACTTATACTTCAAAATGGTGTGGAATAGTGCGTATAAGTATGCAATTTGGAACACACCTATAGTCAAAAACAATAAAGAAATGAAATAAATAAAGCGCTGTCTCACCTGTGCCCTTCTTACAGGTGAAGGTCAGGTGGTAGTTGCAGGGCACATCGTTCCACTGTCCGCTCTCATGCCAGATCATGACCACACAGTCCTCACCGGTGGAGAAGAAGCTGTCCGGCTGACCATCACGCCAGTTCTCGAATTGCTGGAGAACCAGAGCACACTTGTGAATTTCTTTTTTCTTGATTTGAACACAAAAAAATATATAAATTACAACAACAAAGAAAAATGAGACTTTGTGTGCATTCACACCTGTGAATCGATTCATGTGTTCCGAAACAGGGATTAAAATAGTTACATTAATACTCTTTGCTCTTGGTGCGGTTCGCTTTCACACTGCAAAGTTTCTAAACGGACCAAAAGAGCTACTGTACAAGTCACATGTGAGTTAACTCTCCTTACATTGGTCAGAGTTTCATGGTTTATTTTGCAGAGTCCCGCTCAGCTGTCATGCGTCCTTATTTTAATTCATGGCGATGGGCAATAAGACATTATAAGTGGAAAGCTGCACTTTCATTTTGAATGGTGACACCCACAGACATCGTCACCAGATATAAATCAGCGGTAAGACCCTCTTACAAAAAGCCCTTGGCTAGACTGCAGTTCGGTCAATGTTCCTAACGAATAAAAATCTCTCGTTAAAAGTTCAGCATGCTTTCACCTTCGAATTTAGCATGAAACACACATTTACCGGTAGGAATGACATCCAGCACTACTCATAATTTTCTCTTCATATAGCCGTATATATGCCTATTGCATATCCATAATACACTGTGATATAGCCGGGCTTGGATCATTTTGCTTTCTCACTACAACCGATCTGCTCCAAAGTTTGTTTCAATCGAGCCGACACCACTTCATTCAGGCGATCTCGGATCGATTGCTTTGGTGCTGATCCGAGCCCGATTGCTGGATTCACATATGCCAAAAGTCTAGGGGCCCTATTATACAACCGGCGCAATGTGGCGCAAGGCGCGACGCAATAGTTTTTTGCTAGTTTCAGCTTGGCGCAAGAGTCATTTTGAGGCGTTGAGTTTTAGGATATAACTCAGGTTTTTGAGCACACTTCGTTATTATTGTTCATTTATTCGTTTGCTAAAAACTAGAACTGAAGTTAGAAATAGTTTTGAAACAAATATTTACGCTTAACGAATGAAATTAATTATTTATAGGCTAAATGATGTCTGTGCGTAAAGGTTTCCCTATCCACGAGAGCGACACGGCCTGAAAGTGTTTGCGCTCTGCGCATGGATCGTCAAAATAGAGCCCTAGGTGTGAAGGCACCCTCAATCAATAGTCATGCCTTCTAATGTTCCATTTCTTACGCGGAGCAATCGTTTAGCTTCACAAGACCTCAGTGTGTAATCAGTAGGCATGTCTATTGATTTACTCCTTTGTGTGTGTTCCTTTTGGTAAAACTTTAATTTGATGGTCCCTATTGCACATTTTGTTGACTAAAACTTGCATTGCAGCTACATGACAGTATTACTAGACTATTCTGCTTAATATCTGCTGATGCTGCTCCTTCAACAAACATTTCACTGACTATAAGAGACTTTGCAAGTCCATGTCAACTTACACTAACCCCAACCCAACAGTCTACTTATAATCTATTGAGAATTAGTTGGCATGCAGATGCGATGTAACTTAAATTCTACAAATAGCATTAAACGGATCAGCAAATAAAAGTAATACCTTTATGTTTAATCTAAAACAACCTTTCACCATTCACTGCCTTTATATGAATCACCAAGAACAACAGAATCAGTTTAAAATCTTCTTTAATGTTCTACTGAAGAAGAAAAAAGTCTCAAGTATGAGCTGTGGTGGAGTAAATCATATATCAACTATCCCTTTAACAGTTATTAAGTTAGTAGTTGGGTTTAGGATTATGTACTAAGTACTAATAAACAGCCAAAACAAAGAAAAGAGGAAGGGGTGCTGACAATATTTTCAACAGTATCTGGATGCAGCCTTTATGATACAAGCTGAGATTGCATGGCTCAGCGATGCAATGTCAGACACAATGCACTCAATGGAGCGAGTGACGTCACTGTGAGGGGTAGGGTTAGGGGCGGGGTTAGGTGAGCACATTAAAAAGCATTGGATGCAGCTCAGATTGCACTGCACCAGGTC